CACTAGAGACACTCCTGAGGGCACGGAGAAGAGGGACTCCAAGGTTCTGGAAACCCCACCCTCACCTACACAGGTGTGGGAGCACATCAAATGCAGTGAGAAGGAAGCTGACCAGATGAACCCCCTCTGACCTAGGAGAGACAGACAGTCAGGCTCAGCATATGAGCTTGGACATCCTTAGCAGGCCCCGTCATAACCTCACCCAGGACAGCTGATTGCACCCTGGGGTGGGGCCAATCTGACGTGGGGGCTGAGGACTCCTTGCCTCTCCATCCCACACAGTGCCACCCCTCCTGGGACAGTCCCTGTCTCTCCCCTACATGGGGAGGTTGGTGGGATCCTCTCATCTCCAACTCAGAGCTTGGCTGAGAATGACCAGAATGGGGAGCCTCAGAATGACCTCCCCCAAATTTTGTCAGCTCTGGCAGGAGCCACAGACCCAGGTGACTCCAACCCCCAAGCAGAGCCCAAGGGACCCATCCCTCTGAGGAGGGCTGGGGAGATGTGAAGTGTGACAGGTGACTCTGATGCTGAAACCTGACGTCTCTGCTAAAAGAACCTCCAGATGGAGTGTGTCAGGATCCACCACCTTCCCTGACTCAGTGACACCAGATCCCCTGGGGAGGGAGAGGAGGGAGACATCCCTAGAGGAGGAATGGTGTTGTCATCAGAGGGGTCTCAGATGACAGCCCCTTCCCCACTCAGACTCTGCCCCTTGTCTGAGGTCATTTGCAGTCGGGGAAAGGGAGGAGAATGGAGTCTCCGCCACCTGAACACACTGGCTCACCAGGGGATACAGGGACATCGGTCCTCCCTCTTTTACTCCCACAAGCTCCAGCCCAGCTTGGGGCCATGAATATTGTGCTGGATCTGCAGACGAAAACTGTCCTGGCCTCAGACCACCGTCTGGTTTGATGAACTCTCATTGGAGTAGATCAGAGAAGAGTTTGCATGACAGAGATTGAGAATTCAGCGGTGGAACATGACACCATTAAAATTGTAATTAAACACGTGATAAGTGCTTAATGATGATGCTGGATACAAACTGTTTATCCTGACTTTTCCTTCCATACTTTCCTCACTGTCCCCACAACCTGGGACCTCCCAGGGGGCTGCGGACCCCCCTCAGCATGGCCCACAGCCCAGCAGGGTCCGACCCTCACCAGCCTCGGCTCAGCCCACAGTCCTCCTCGCTCTCCAAGCCCCCCACAAATGCTCTGTCTGCCCCTTCCTCCAGCCTGGTGTCTCCAACCTGAAGGCCGCTCCCTCTGCAGGCAGCTCCTGCCTCCACACCCTCTGTCCTGCCTGGGGACGACCACTCAGCTTCAGGTCTCAGCCAAAAGGGCACTTTCAGGGGAGCTCCCTGTGATTCCGAGACC